AATATACTATGTGCAATAAAACTGTCTGTCTTTAAACGTTTACAGATAACCTTAATCATTAAAACTTTATAACAACCAACACAGCTTAAAATCTTGCATTTCATTAATGTAYTATTCCAAGAGAAATAAAAATAATCTCAGTATYTCCTAGCAAGTGTATGAAACCTTGAAAAGATTTCKCTTAAGTACTTGTTTGTTATGCCTTAACCTAAGATTAAAAAGCTYAAGCAGTTTTTCTTTGAACATAACTACAGCAGGTATTTTCTGTAATATGAAGTTCATGAGCAGAATTTTGGATCCTCTAAGAGGTTAGGTTTTGTGGGTACAGTTCTTTGGTTACTAAGAAAATGTGAACACTGAAGTAGATAGAAAGAGCCACCTTGCACCATTCAAAAGCACACTAAAATTAATATTTTAAATAATCCAGAATTTGGAAGCATGGAATTGAGTGTCTTTTTTCTAATCCACACTCCACATCTGTTGAAATCTTTTTTCCCCTAGACATGCCTTAAGTGTAACTCTTAGCAATAAATCAGAACTACTAGCTGCACAGTGGAAACACTTAAACAGTGTACCTGTCGAAAAACCACTAATGGAACTGGCTTTTAAGAGATTGAAAAATGCTCATTTGTATGGAAGTCACAAGAATAACATCRAAGCACCTGTTTAGGATCTCTGCAGAAGTTTGAATTGGGTTCTATTTTGTATCTGCACCCATCTATACCTCTCCCATAAAATTCTGTTAGCATGTCATGTGACAATCGCAAAATACTTCCATTAAACCTTCACTTACATCAATCTAGTTAGAACAATAYCACGATTCCACAATTACATACACCGCCCCTCAACTCAGTCCCGCAAACTGTCCTCATTAAAATTAGTTTTAGTGTGCATGCAAAATACTGCTCTTAGTMAAACCAAGATCAGAACTGGAAAAACACTACAGCCTTCAGTGTGACACTGATTTCTGAATTTCTGCTGCTTTCCAACAGAACTGTAATAGTTTTGTGTGCTGAAACTGTAGAAGAGAAATCGGGAGCTGCATTACCTCAAAGTAACCTGAAGAGGTTACTTAGTCCTAAGAAAAACTTTCCCTAGATTTAGTCTAAAGAGTCAGTATATTTCCCCTCTGGAATTTCCCAGACGGCAAAAACACTCACCCAAAAGGCTAAGTGATAGTTCAGCAAATTTTTCCTTCAGATATGAAAAGCTTCAAGACACATAAATGGTTCCATAATGCCAATCCATACTACTGCTTTTGTAACACAATGTTTATGGAACAGAAATGTGTCTTAAAAAAAAAAAAAAAAAAAAGAAATTTAGATTTCAAACCTTCCCTCCTGAACAAGAGGCTTGTGTTAATTTTGGGGGAGGGGCGTATTTAATTCTTTATGAATATAGAAATTAGAACATCAGTAGAGTTAAAAAAATAAAAGCAAAAATTGTTTTGTAGTCTCATCTCCTTAAAACAAATCACAGATCTGTTTTTACAAATGGAGAAACTGAGTCACGAAGGCAAACTGACTCATTAAAACTCACACAGGAAAACTCTGGAAGATCTCTCTAAATTCCCAAGAGGTTCTCAGTGCATAAAATAAGCTGTAAAATTTCAAAATTAGTATTATTTGGTTTATTTCATTAACCTTTCCCAAACACTCTCTTTGTAAAGTGTACGAAGTTATTTTCCTCTAACTTGAATCAGAAGTCTGTTGGAGAACATGACATGAGGACTTGGAGACTGCATAGCCCTTCAAGCCAAAATGTCAGAAAAAAAAAAAAAATCAAGAACAGTAGCTTTCAACTGAAGGAAAGAAAAAGCAAAAGGTCTCCATAAAGAGTTGTATATTCTTTAGAGTCTTCTTCATGTACTTTTAAATAAACAGAAAAAGACACAGTTTAGGAAAAAAAATCGTATTTATATAAATAAAGATGATGGAAGCATGCATTACTGGAGAATTAATGAAATCAGTCAGCCTTTGGCCTCAAAACACACTAAAGGCATGCATTAACAACACCCTAAAAGTCTAACTATCTTACTGTATAATTTTAGGTATACCTTAAATCACACATCAGTACTTCTAAATGGTATCCAAATGAAAATTCTTCAGAGACTCAAGACAGCTTTGCCACTTCAATACCTCACTTTTGATTGTTTAAATCCAGAAGATTCTAAAGCTATACTGGAATAGGAATTCATGTCTCACTAATTTAAAGCATGAGATTAAAAACAAGAATTAAAATAGGTGAAAAAAAATTTATTGTTATTGTTGTTTAAAACACACCATTTGCAGCCTCTATAGTATGCATCAGAGTACACTACACCAACTACCAAATAATGAATCCTTGTGACCTCCCTTCCCCCCACTCAAACATATTTATAGTGGTGATACTAAAAGGTTCATATTTCATTTAGGAAAAAAATTAGAGGTTACAAACTGCACCTTCCCTCAGTATTTGTATGTGTATACCATTTATACAGCAAAATACAAAATAAATTGAAGAAAAAAATGTAATGCCAAGATTACACGGTAGCAGAAGAAATTCCACGTCTTTAAATAAAGTAACAGGTTATAATCTCACATGCATTATTCCCGTAAGTATTAAATTCATTTTGTATTCTCAAACTATGAATACATGGAATTACTACACTGTTGTCCAGTGAAGGTATTTCCTGGAAGGTGAACATGACGTTTACACATGTCTTTCCACAAAGAATGTAGCTGACTGTCTTAGTGATCTTAATCCACTACTCGTGTTGATAAATATTACTGATTTTATGTTGCTAGTAGGACAGACAGATGTACAGTATCGATCACAAACACAGGAGCTTTTCCAATTTATCAAACTGACATACATATTACCTTCCAGCACCAKATACACACCCCTCGAAGGAGCTGCTTGAATCTGTTGCCTCCTTCTACCCCCCTTCTCCCCGACAAGAGTGGTCTCGTTCACTTGCCTTTCACACACATAACCAATAAAATTAATCAGCTGGAACACAGCATTTTTAAATCGCAGTAAAGTCAAGAGATGTTTTGTACGTTATTTGAAGGGAAGAGCCTTTTCACTTAAATATAGTAAGACTCTAATATGCTGCAGACAAACGCACTGCATGGGGTGTGGAGGACCCGAGCTGATTAGATTACCACAACATCAGCCTGAGGCCGCCATTTTTAGACTCTCTAAAGGACAAAAGAGGGAAATTAATAAATTTGCTCCACATTTTTTTAAAAGTAACTTTAAAAGTATAGCGATGATAATCAATTAATCATGCATTGTAACTACTGCCATGGATATGCCTTGCTATTCTCCGATCTGAACCCTGACTAACAAAAACGCTTCATTATTATTCCTTTAAGGTACTGTAAATAAACAGACTAAAACATTCCTAAATCTAGATGCAGCACTGAACTTCTGCTTTTGACGACACGTAATACGTACCATTTTAWGGACCTCAGGGCTTTCAAACACCGCACATTCCCTAATAGCCGAGTATGGGGGAATACAGGATCTTTATAATCAGGCTATATGATGTTTCTCTACCCTATTTAGTAGTACACAGTGAACCGTTTGTTTCTCTTCCCTTATATCTGCAGCAATAGGGTCTAACCCAGCAACACTTACTGCTTCAGGAAAGAGACTGAAATATGCCACCCAGGGAACACGAACACTGGCTGCAGAAACTAAAGCAAGAAAGGGGTGCACCAGTATAACTACTTACAGCCTCGAGAAAGGGGGTGGGGAGAATTATCCCCTTTTAAATTGGCACAGAAACTCCTGGGGACAGCTCTCCGTTTGCCCAGGTTACACCACGAAGAGAAGATATTAACAGGGAGGCAGGCAGGGAGGCGGGGGTGTGGAAGGCAAAGAGATTAGGCCTATAACGAGCCATTTTAGTACCACAAAGCAAAAATATACAGGATGGAGGAAAAGAATAGGCTTCCCCAAGCTTCATAAAACTCAATACGCAGTCCCAATAACGCACAAACCCGTTCTGAAAACCGCCAGCCCAAGGAAGCCTATGTTGTCACATAATATAATGAGCCTTTTGGCTCATTTTCCAAGCATAATGTATAAATCTGGCGTAACTGCCAAAAAATTCTCCTCAGCTCCTCCAGTTACAGTAACCCGCCATATTCATAAGATATAGCGACAGCCTGCCATTTTTTAACCAAACCCCACAAAAGGAAAAGCAAATTCAAGGCAACTTAAACAGAAATTAAACGCATTTCACAGTGGGAAGGAGTTATACTCGCACCAAAGGTAATGAGGCGCTCCCATCGCATTTCATTCCCCCTTCCCACTCCCCCCCTCCCCCAAAGCACCCACAGCAGAATATGCTGGTAATAACCAAAAGACTCACCTGTAATGGTCACAGGCCAGGCAGCAGGACCCCTCAGCTGAGCCCCTTCTCTATCCCAACCAAAACAATGCAAGAGCCCCACTGCGGATATCCCTACCCTAAGCAGGACTCAGCCCTCAGCAAGCTCTAGTAAAAGAAAGAATAGGGAAAGAGGAGACCCCCCCTCCCCCCAAACCTAGCTCAGTGCGCGAAGCCCTACAGGGACCAGCTCAAAGGCGCCTTTGCCCTGGGACCTGTGTACAAACCCCGCTGCTGCCGCGGCTGCTCCCGTGCCTCCCTCCCTCCAGCCTCCTACGCTCCCTTCTATGTCACTGCCTCTCTCTGGGAAAATGGCGTCCGCTCTCCCCTCCCTCCCCCTGCACGGGGCTCACCCGCCCCGCCTGACAGGGGCAGGGTTACCAAGGCGAAGCCAAACAGCCGCCATTTTGCTTACGGGCCGGGAGCGCAGCCCGCGCCCGCCGAGCCCTCAGAGTCCATTTTGCAACACGCCGAACGGCTCCGGGGTCTGGGCGCGGCCCCGGCACCAGACTGCGGCAGGGGCTGGGCAGGGGGGCCGTAAGGAGGGAAGTAGGGCAATGGAGGAGGGGCGGCTGCAGCGGGGGCTGGCGCCGGGGGCGATCCGCAGCCCTGGCGGCGCAGCTCGCGCGGGAGGGGCGGGGGCTCCGTCCCGGCCTGTTGTGGGGCCGAGCGCGGGCGGGAGCGAGGGTGTCTGAGTCAGAGCTGCATCCTCCGAGGAATAAACGCCAAAACTCCCTCCTCGGCCGCTCTCACACCCCCAACCTTCGGCTTCTTCCTCATGACCATCGATGCTCTCGGCATACGTGTTCTTTATGAATCTCAAACARCACATTTCGGCCCAAACTGCACGAAAAGCCGGGCACACTCGTCGGATCTCACAAACGCAGAAGAACTGACTGAGGGGCGGGGAAGAGGGGAGCGAAAAAGGAGCGGGAGTTTTTGCAGATCTGCTTAGGCGGTTTTGACTGAAACTCAATAACTGACACTCGAGGCTGCGAATCTTCCCCGAAGCGTTTAGGACTCATATATAAGGCAAGTGGGAGAAAGCTTCTTTCCTTTAAGCGAGAGGGACAGCACTCACTGAAGGCGCTTCTGTTCTGCAGGGAACGAGACAAGCAGTGAACAAGCCTCGTTTGCCCTTTAGGGAACAGCACTCGGGGAGCAAGAATGGCGCTCTTCCATCCAGACCAGCAGGCGCTGTCAAAGCCGGGAGCTCGCTCAGCCTTTCAGAGCAGACGCAGTCTCTGCTATTCGTAATGCTCCCGTCTTCCTGCCACCATTTCTCCTCCCAGATCCCGCTCTACCCGTACGCCGCCCTGCCTCCCCTGCCCGGCTTCAGCCCCTCCAGCGATACGGCTGATTGAGGGAGGGGAGGTGGCGGCTGGGGTTTCGTTTGACGCCCACCAGGGGCTGAGCGAGCCTCCTTCAGTGCGCAAACTCGGGGCACCAGATAAAAGCTGGGCTGGCAGCTCTTACCCTGCCTCGATGGAGCCGCCACATTCGGGTGACTGGAGAAGCAGTTAGCAGCAGCGCCATAGACTAGCGTCCCCCCACACCTTGAGCACAGAGAGTTTGGGGCTCTAAACAGCTGCTGCTGCGGCAAGAGGGAGCCGAGGTGAAGGGATCTGCTAGCTGGTTGGACGCAGAGGAGGCGGCTGTAATGGGGCATTAAGTCTGAGGGAGGAGGGGGGGCGATTAAACGTCTTGTGATCATGGCGGAGTCTATGGGTATTTTTTTTCCTGTCTAACTCTTCTGTGCGTGTGTCTCTTGTTTCTTTCTCTCTCTCTCTCCTTAGGGCGCTTGGCTGGGGCTGCTCGCTCGGGTTCTGCCTGTTGTTGCGCGAAATGGCGGCTGGCGTCTTGGTGGGTTTGGTTGTCGGTTTTTTGTGTAGGGCTTTTTTTTTTTTTTCCCTTCCCCTCCTCTTCCCCTCCCCGCACTTGTGCCTTGGCTGCGKCTCCGCAGCGAACCGCGGCGGAGCCCGAGTCAGGAGGGGGGCGGGAGCGGCGCGGCAGCCAATGGCCGGGCTGGCCGGGGTGGCCCGGCGTGCCCTGATTGGCTGGCGCTGACATCATCCTGCAGCAGGGGCAGCCGCAKCTGGGCAGGGTCGGGAGCTGCCGGGGGAGGCAAAGGGAGAAAACGGGCGCCATGATCCCAGCGCCTGGGAGGACACCGCTTGCAGGGCGTCCCCGAAGAGCTGGCGAAAACGAAAGCGGGACCAGGCCTGGGTTTCTCTTTCCCAAACAGCGCCGGGGCTGTGCGGAGACGAGCGGGGAACGAGCGAGAGGGGAGCAACTCGTGCCTGCCTTTGTAACTGCGTCAGTACAAGATGGCGCAGGGTGTCCCTGGAGAGGGAAGGGAGTTGCACGTCCGCCGGAGGTCATGTGACCGCGTTGCATTCCTGTGGGGTTTGGCTGCGGACCAAGCTGGCTTAGGCGGTGGCGGCGGCTGCCCGGGAGAGCCCGGGCTTCCCTCCCCCTCCTCCCGCACAACGTCGTCCGTCCCGCGCTGGTTCCCTTCCCCCATCAGCCTTATGCACGAGGGTGTAGCTGCTGCCGAGGAAGGTTCTCGCTTCTCTTCTTACTCTCCACCCACCTCCAGGGTGTAGCTGCTCTTGGGGGAAGCTTTCCATTTCGCCCCCTCTCTGCGCAAGGCTTTACCCACCGCCAGGGAAAGTTCCCCCTGGGCGCCTTCTGGCTCCGCCCGAGCGTGGGAAGCCGGGTTCGCTCGCGGTAGTGCCGCCCGTTCGGTGCGAACGCACTCTGCTCTAAGTTAAGTTCCCGGGTTTATGGAGTGTTTCTTGCCGGATCAGTCGTTTAAAACTATGTCTAAATGACCTCATTAAAGCAGCTGAGGAAAACGCACAGGCTGTGCGGAGTTGTTCATCTGACAAGGAGGTCTTGGCCGTTCTAATGTTGCTGTGCCTGGGTACGGGRTGGAGGGGCCAAGGGAGAATCTGCGAGGTGTTCACGACGTTATTCTGTTCAAACAGGAGAAGTGGATCCCTGTTCTTTGTGTGCTGTTAAATCCTATTGCAGTTGAGCAGCTTTCTGTGGAGCGATGGGGGTATTCCAAAGTCAGGCCGCAAATGGCCTGCAACTAATTTAACATGGGAATTGATGTACGTATACTTAGTGTAAATACTGCGAGGACTCCCTGTGTTGTACTTGCTGAGGTCCATAGGAAAATGAACTCGTTACACAGGTCTGGATAGGCCTGGAAGGTTGGCAAACATATTTTCGGGGTCTTTTTTTATTTCAGTGTGTTGATGTATGGGAAGTGAAAAAATTTATGTTTTCCAGTACTAATTCGTTTCTTTGAGAAATGGAGTTCTTGCTGTTTGGTTGAGGTTCTCATGTTTTCAAAGCAATTCAGAGCTAGTTCCAGTATCTTGTTCTTGTATGCCAAGGTGTAAATTCAGCCAGAGCATCTAATCTAATTAGCAAATTAACAGTTAAAATTGTTGATGGTTTAAGGGTGTTGGTTTGTTTCATTTAGAATGCTTCACTTTTTGTGTTCACAGTTTGTCCTTAGATACGTGGTTTTTTTGGTTTTTTTTTTTTTTCTATTTACCTCCAAAGTAGGAGGCATAAAACTTGAATATTTCACGGATGTGCTGTTTGAGAGCTACTGGAATGAAAGTAACTGAGTGTATGACTAATAYAGAAGATTCCTGTATAATACATGCTCTTTAATATGTGTTACATAAGTAATATGGTGAGGTGGAGTTCAGTTACATAAGCACTGACTGGGGACTTGGGAGCTACTGTAAGTAGTTCATATTGGTCTCATATATAGCCTGCAGGGCATCCCTGTGTTGTGGGAGGAGGGGTAGAAAAACAGGATTGGAAACATTTAATAGCACTACATTTTTCCTTTGTAGGTTTATAGAGGATACCAGGAAAGAAAGGGAGAAGACAGTAATTAAGAATGACACAGTGTGAAGCTTTCAAAAGCCTGGAGTCTCATTTGAGCTTAGAAAACTCTGTTTTCTAAAAGAGCAGTTCCCCTCTTAGGTGTCAGAAGGTGGCTGTCAGCTAAGCATTGTGCCAACTGACTTCTGTGCGGAGCAAGATTCTTGAGTTCTAGAGGTTGTGAGGCTGTGCTTTTTTTTAAAAAAAAAACTTACTGGAAATGGTGTTAGGAGGAGGCAGTTGGTTTGTTGATCAAATACTAAACTGACTGGATTACTGGCTGTTATTGTGTAGGCATCATATGACACAAGGTAAATACTCCCTTTGTAATGGAAGCTTCCAGAGAGGCTTTTAGTATGTAGTAATTCTTTTAATACAGCACAGATTTATGTGGGACTTGACACTGTGAATAGTTGGTTGCAGATGTATTAAAGGAAGAACATTAATTTGAACTAAAGATGCAGAAAAGAACCATTTTATTAGTATTTACATTTAGGCATGTGTTCTATAATTATGAAACAGTAATTGCCTGCTTCACTGTAAGAGGTTTGTTTGCATGCTTATGTTAGAAAATAGTTTATTTAGAAAATCAGCTAGAATTTTAGTTCTAGAAGAAGCCTTTTAGGTCACTCACTTTAATAGCAGATTTTGCTCGAAAACTGAGAAATTAATTAAAAATTCTCTGTGTAACTTGCAGCTTATTGTAGAGTAYTTTCACAGAGGTGTGGCTGTACTTCTACGAAGCTATAGAAATGAGGGCAAGTTTTAGTGAACTGGTAGTAATTTCTTGTTTGGTTCAAGGTTGTTTTTATTAGTAGTTCTCAGGGAAGCAGTTATTTTGAAAGAAGCAGTAGCTTTAGCAGTGTTGCAGTGTAGTCTCAAAATAATGCCTTATGTGTTTGATTTACTTGTGCTGCAGGAGATGAATAAAAATGAAATGTGTGTATTTCTTTGAGACAGGGGATTTGCCTAACGGCCAGTCTGATGCACGCTGTTTTTTAATCTGGAAGGAAAGCAAAGAGCTGTCAGGGAGACTAGGTAAAAAGCAGTGTGTAGCTTACAGCTTACCAGGGAAACTAACAATTTCTACTGAACTACAATTTGTTCCTWAATGAGGATACTTCAGTTGGCTGGATGTTCTCCAGCAGTTAGACTTGTGGTTCTAACTTGCCACGATAGCCTGTCTGGTGTGGTCTGAGCTCTTGCTCAGACCTGTTATTTAAACACTGTTGTTTACCTTTAGCCATACARAAGGACTGACAAGAGTTCAAGGGTATTTAGGGGAGAAAGAAGAGAGATACTAACAGTGTAATAGATCCGACTGTGCGTTAATGTCATAGTTGAAACAGTTGAAGTGCTCATGCTGAAAGATGATCCTGGACCTTTTTTCAGCTGTTCATTCTTCTTCCTCCAAGTGATCATGAGGGAAGTAGTAGTGAAGAATGGATCAAACATAAGCCTAATTGTAATGGACGGTTTTCTAATGTGATTCTTCATTGTGTGGCTTGACAAACATTCCTATTTGAACGGGAGTAGAAAGAAGCAGCTGCGAGGAAAATGGAAAAGTGAACGTTTTAATTGTTAGTGAAGTTAGGTATACTTTTTCTCAGGAAAGCTGAAGTTATTAGGGAGTTTTAAGAAGCAATGCTTCCAGGCTTTTGGCTACTGTTACTAGAATCACTGAGTCAAGCACTCTCAAAAGACCTAATTCTAAACTACGAGTAATAAGTTGTTGCTAGATTGATCTTTAGTTGTGGGTGGCAAGAGCACTTTGGACTTACTGAAATTGTAGCCTATAAAATTATATGAAATGTTAATTTTTCTCAGCTACAGGCTAGTAAAGTGTTTATAGGATTTTAGATTTARGCTTATTTTGTTGGAACAGGATAAAACTTGAAATAAGCTTGCGTCTTCCAGAGGTGGCTGATAATCTAATAACTAAGGTATTCAGTGAAGAATTATTTCTACTGGATGAACTCTTAGTTAATTGTAAAAAGTGATACCTGTGACTCACAGCAGTGATACGTGTGGGTCGCAGTGGTCACTAGTCAAATGAATCTGCATGATTTGTATGTAGTAAAGGAGTTCTAGTGACTGACAACTGATCAGTTTATCCACCTGGATGTGAAATACTGTATTCAATGCTCAAACAGCAGCAGGACTTTGCACACTGCTTCAGGCTTTGTGATATAATAAGCCTTTCTGAAAAAGTGGAGATTAGTAAGGTTTTGCTTTCGCAGGAATATAGGTTGCTGGCTGGTTCTACAATTCTTAACAGTTGAGTTCCTCACTTAAAGAAGCAACTTTAAAGCTGTTGTGTGGCCTCCTAATCCTGGGATTAGTGGAATTTGCACCAGGTTCAGCTCGTTGCTATGACCTTTGGGTAGTGAAGTGGGGCAGTGGTTTGTTTTCTCCTTCTAACATGACCTTGTTACTGTCAGTGGAATCTTTTTCATGAGCTACTAGTTGCTTTGGAGAGCTCCATGTAGCTGCTTTCGTAAGTGAGGTAGTGCTCAGACGTTATTATAATGCAGCACTGGCCCTGAAATACTGTGAATAGGAGTTCTTTGATGAAGATTGTGAAAATAACCAGTGACTGAATGGCTCCTGAGTAGTATATGCACAGTGGTGCTTTTTCAGGATCTTCAGGAAGAAAATACCGATAATTTGGAGGCATAGATTATGCCAGAGTTGGGAAATCACTGAACTGGAGACTAGCATCCCAAAATTAGTGCTGAAGGTCGTCATGTCACAGAAAGCAAGATTTTGTGTTTCTTGTAAACTCAGAAACCAAGCAAATCTTAGCTGCTGTATTTTTGTGCTTATTAAGTGTTGGAGAAAATAAACCCTTCTGAAACTACTTATTGTGATTGTGACTGCTCTATCTGTGAGCTTCTTAGTAGTATGGTCATCACTGAGATCRTCTTACTCGGAAGTAGAAATACAGGAGCTTGATTGCAGCAATATATCATGTCTCTTCAAAAGGTTAGCTTGTGAAGACTGCTGTGGACGTACTCAGTGTGGTCTGTTAAGACTGGAAACAGAAATATTCAACAGCCTGGGAGAGTTGGGGTTTTTCAACATGGAAGAGGGAAGCCRCTTGGGGAGACCTCATTGCAGCCTAGTGAGGCACTAGAACAATTTGTCCAGAGAAGATGTGGATGTCCCATTCCTGAAAGTGCTCAGGGGCAAATCGTATGGGGTCCTAAACAGCCTGATCTAGTGGAAGTTGTCTATGCTTGTGGTAGAGGGCTAGGAGCTATATGGTCTTGAAAAGTCCCTCCCAACCCGAACCATTCTATAATGTCTGACAGCAAAAGGTGCACCTAGGAATGGATACCTTTTGAACATTGAGTAACACTGGTTGTAATAATGGATTTGTTTCCAGCAAGCTTCAGTAGATTGGTAACTAATGAAACTTTCTTTGGAGGAGTTCAGTTCTTAGTGTTTTATCTACAGAAGTTAGTATGTGTCTTTCTGTCCAGTTGGCTGTTGTGTATGAATTTTTGATAGCTGTTCCATCCAGTGCTAGAGGTGTCAGAACTAGTGTGGAGGGCACAAGAACTTAAGCTGAAGAGACAGCTGGGAAACAAGCATTAGTATTGAATTTTTGTGCTAAACTCCCTCCTTCCATGTTCCTGCCTTAGCAGGTTTGTGAACTGTTGTGTGATTCTCCAAATTTTAGTGAAGTAAGATAAAAAAATTAGAGGTGCAGAACTCTGCCTCTGTATTAGTGCAGACAAAGTAGTCCATCAAAGAGATTGTGAGACTATAGCTGATCATGACACTGAGATAGTAATTTAATCTCTAGCCTAAGAGGTCTTTTACCAGCTTTATTCTCTTGTATGTGCTAAACAATGTGCTTCTTCATTTTGGGGCACAGTGTTGGTGGCCCAGTTTGCCAGGCTGATGATAGATTGTGCAGTGTGTTCTTATCTGTTGAGCCAGGGTAAGCTGTCTCAAATTCCATGCAGAACAAYTCTGGGCTTTCTAATTAGAGAATTATTAAATATTACTAAATGGCATTGTCACAAATAGCCTGATTAGAAGGATATTCTAGAAACTATTGCTTTTATCAGATTGGTGCTACTTCAAATTCATCTCCAAAGCTGTGCTCCATTACCCCAGCATACATATGCTGGAACAAGCTCATAAGCTTATAAAGGCATGCTGGGCAGTTGTCAGATCCTATTTTTAAACTGTTTCTGAGAAACACTTCTGCTTCCCTATCTCTGYGTAGTCATAGGAAAGGCTATACTTCATGCAGGAGCCACAATGTCTGGTCTCAGCTAACAGTAATTTTTGAACTTGAGTGTCTCCTTCTTAWGRKAKWGKSMWATTGAACTGCACTGACTTCTTTTGGGGAGGGGAGATCATCGCTCACTAGGAAATTGTGGTAGTGGGCTATTGAGTCCTTGACTCTAGGTACTAACTACAAAAGATACAGCTCTCTTTACTCTTGAGACCAGTGACAGGGCATGAGGAAATGGCACGAAGATGAGTCAGGGGAAGTATAGGTTGGATATGAGGAAAAAGTTTTTCACACAGAGTGGTTAAGCACTGGAATGGGCTCCCTCAGGGAAGTGGTCACAGCACCAAGCCTGTTTGARTTGGAGAAGTGTTTGAACAGTGCTCTCAGGCATATGGTG